CATGCGCATACATAACTAGTGAAAGAAAGAGCAACTATAATGATTCCCCTTTTTCATTCCGGCCTTATAGACTTGTGTAACATTGTGTAACTGTTTTGAAGAAGTGCACAACACTTGCATTATACTAAAAGTCTTTTCAAAGTTTAGGTGGAACTAACATGAGGCTCAGCAGTACAAATAATTAAGCCAAGAGGGCATTTACCAAACAGTGACAAAAATCCTTCTTTGTGGTAAGAAAAAAATTTGAGTTACTGTAGTAGGAGACCAACACTTAAACACGGATCACACCACAGCTGATACACATCCTCAAAGAAGAGTCCACACACATAAATCCATGACAAGTCCCTGATGAAGATCCAGCTTTGACTGGCTTGGGCTGATTTGCACAAAGTTAATATCAGAGTTCCTGCAGATACTGTCAAACACTTGCCTGATGAGGGGTTCTTCAAGTTCTGGAAATAAGAACAATGCATTATTTAGATACAAAGTGATAAGAATGAGGAAACATAAACTTGCTACTTCCTGTTCCAACTACGGGCTCAGTTTGAGAAAACATGGAAATGTAAAGAGTTACTGTGTGGCAGAATAAGCCCAAAGTGCAGGACTCAGAAGATGAGGTAACTCAAAAATAGCTGTATTGCATGCTCTTACAAAAACACAACAAAAAGCAGGGCAGGTGGACAGGTCTGTAGTCTGTCTCTTACCTTTAAGGATATTTCCAAATTCTCACCTCCTCAGAACTCCATCTGCTCATCATTAGTCCCAATATTTTATATATGTGTGTGTGTGTGTGTGTGTGTGTGTGTGTGTGTGTGTGTGTGTGTGTGTGTGTGTGTGTGTGTGTGTGTGTGTGTGTGTGTGTGTGTACAGGCAGGTATAAATCTAGACTGTGGCAAAATAGTTACTTTAGTGTGTCAGTAGATAGCAGTATTACATTTTCGGAGCAGAGATTTGTGGTGCAGAGAGTGGTACGGTGGTTGGTATTTGCAGCAAACGGGTGTGGGTTCAACTGGCTGCGGCCTCTCTGTTTATGGGTTGAATAATGTCTGTAAAGGTTCTCAGTCATCCAGGTCAAGTCATCGTAGTCTAAGGAGCTTGGAAAGAAAAGTGTCTGTGCTTGAAGACAAGGAGTTTTGTCTTTGGGATGAACTAGTTTTTTGTGGCTGGGTCTGACACAAACTGTCTGCCATCTATAATCCAGTTTTGAGATCCCTTCAAAGACGCCTTAACCCCCACTAACATCCTGGGCCTTTTAACCTCAGGAAATCACCTAATAGGGTGGGGCAAGGTCTCACAATGAGTTCACCTGAAACCTTATTGTGATTGCTGATTGTGACCTACACCTGTTTTCACACCTTCGCTCATGTGATTAGGTATTGTAAAGGTAAATGATTTGGATCATTTGTCCTTCTTGGGTCGACACTCCCATGGGGCTTAAATCTGGGACTCTTCACCATTTGACCTCAGAAGTGAAGAAGCTTCTTGGATGAGAGGTGAAACGTCTTCAAGCAACTTAAAGAAGCCCAAACGCTTTTCTTTCCAAGGGTTGACTCTATCTTTACTTCCACCAAAGAGATGCATCTTAGTTTAACTTGTTATTCTAAATTGGCCGGAGATCTGAATTATTGCTTGTTTCTCTGTGATGACCTGGTAACCCAGCCCAAGTGTAGCATCTCTCTTTCTGAATAATGGATCTGATGGCACCTGGGAATTGGATATGTGCTTTAGAAAATGGTTGCATATGGAAAAGATCAATTAATGTCACAGTCTTTTTGTCCTCTCAGAAGCAATATACCTGCCAATATACATGTCCAGCAAACACACTTTACTGCTAATATTCCTAATAATCTTCTAAGTACTTTCTTCATAGGTAAAGTGTGTGTTTTAAATGCAAGCAATGACAGTAAAATAAGGTTTGAAGAACCACTGATGTGCAGTGTGAATAGAATTACAACAGCTTCATCATGCAGTACTGTGAATGCACTCACCATCTGTGCTGGCATCATCCTCCAGTAAGATCTCTGTGAGCAGGGCAGCAGGAGCTGTGTGTAAGACACTGTGGACCATCCTGAGGAGAGCGGACCAGGCCTCATTATGAAACACTATGATCACACTGGTGGTCGGGAGGCCAGGACAACGCCAAAACATCCATTTCAAACAGCTGTCAGAGCCAAACTGAAAGTTAACCCGTACTAGATTTTTAACAAGGGGTACAGTACTGTGCAAAATCTCGAGTCACACACATAGAAATACAGTATGTAAGGGAAAAAGAGAGTTTGTATAATTCTAACTTGAAAGCCAATATTTGGTATGACCACCTTTATTCTTCAACACAGCCTGAACTCACTTAGGCAAGCTTTCTTGTCATTTCTTTAAGTAGTCTTTAGAAATAGTTCTCTGGGCTTCTTAAAGGACGTTCAAAGCTCTTCTTTAAATGTTGGTTGCCTTTTGTTCCATTTTCTGTCAAGATAACAGATGACTGCTTCACTAATATTGAATAATATTGAAGCAGTCATGACCCAGAGACCACTGATAGGATTCCACTCTGTTTTTCTATCCAGGTATACCTCTACTGTACTGATAATGTGTATGGGATTGTTGTCATGCTGAAAAATTAAGCAATTTCCAATCAGATGCTTTAATGTGGTATTACATGGTGGATCAAAATCTGACGGCGCATTTCTGCGTTCATAATTCCATCAATTTTGACAAGATCCCCAACACCACTAGCGTGAGTGGACCCCAAACTATTACAGAGACTAAACCATGTTTTGTAATGTTCATGACTGCAGACACTCACTGTTGTGTGAGTGTGTGTCTGCAGTCATGAAAAAAGCAACCAGTGTGGTTATTCACTTTAGAGCTCGTGTGTCTTTGCCCAGATCACAGTGGAGGGAGATACAATCACCGGCAAACTGGTTAAACTGGTTTTTCTTAGTCCATTTTACTTTCCCTTTATGGTCTTTATCATTTGCGCCCGGTGCCCTGGAATCTTGGAGAGGCCTCTGAAGTTGAGGCTTGAGCTCCTCTTTAAGGTAAAGTCTAGGAGAACAGCTGAGACCTGAAGAATCTGGGAACACGCTATTATGCTCAAGGATGAGTCCCCTGAGTCTCCCCACACTGCCAAAGGGAGGTATGGTGGTTGGGGCGATCGTGGCTCAAGAGTTGGGAGTTCGCCTTGTAATCGGAAGGTTGCCGGTTCGAGCCCCAGCTTGGACAGTCTCGGTCGTTGTGTCCTTGGGCAAGACACTTCACCCGTTGCCTACTGGTGGTGGTCAGAGGGCCCGGTGGCGCCAGTGTCCGGCAGCCTCGCCTCTGTCAGTGCGCCCCAGGGTGGCTGTGGCTACAATGTAGCTTGCCATCACCAGTGTGTGAATGGATGGGTGACAGGTTGTGTAAAGCGCTTTGGGGTCCTTAGAGACTAGTAAAGTGCTATACAAATACAGGCCATTTGTGGAGGGGCTTTGTAAATGATGTAGTATGAAATGAACAGCAAACTCAAAAAGCAGGTTATCGCTAACTTTACTGATCGGGTGAATTGATGGCTGAAGAAGCACATGATTAGCACAAGGTAGTGCTGACATAAAACAGAGCAGAAAAAAATGAGAGAAAACAGTAAAAATCTTTAAGAAAGCAATTATATAAAGTTTTACTTACTTACTAAGTCATAAAGAAAATCATTTATTGCTGGCAAATGTGCTGAATGGTCTTTAAATAAAACCCACCAGCATGCTTTTTTTTTGTTATAGTAAGTATATTATTAAACTCAATTTCCATGTACCAGATTTCATATGATATTTATTTTCATCTATGATGGAGTAAGAAGTGTTTACAAATAATATAAAATAAATATATGTGAAAATAATGATCTACAGAACAATTACTGCAGTTAACACAATGTTTATATTGTAAATTCTAATCAGCACTTACACATTACCCATATCCCTATATGGGTCTAAGTGTTGAACCCATCCATTATTGTTTTTTGAACGTGTAATTTGGCTGGTAGTAGGAAACAATTTAATCAATCAAAAAGAACAACAACTGCTCAAACCGGTTTATCGTTTGGAAGAGATGTTTTATTTATTCCACAGCTTTTACATGTTTTCTTCGCTGTCTCTTGTCTTAGCTTGTTAATTGTCTTTAATTTTCTATTCTTTTAACTTGGATTTTTACTGCTTTCACACTTTACTTGTATCCTTTTTATCTTTTACTGCAAGAGTTATTTTTAATATTGTATATAAAATTAGATCACAAACACAGTTTAAATAACATTATACAGCAAATATTCTATTTTTGTATAACATGTATGCAGTGTATATCAATGCATTATTAGAAATAAGCATTTCTAACCTTTAAGATATCATAGGTGAAGTTGTTAGTCTAAAAGTGAGTTATAAAGACATTGAGTTATAAATTGTTACTTTTTCTACATAGGGTTTTACCCATTAATCAACGGCTTTTAAAATTTTGTTGATATATACAGCAAAACACCTCGTATTTTTAGTTTTATTTCATCTGGGAACTGGCTGTGCTTAAATGCCTTCAGGTGATCTGGACCAAATATTTACAGATCACTAACTACTTCTGACTTCCTGACATTGTTTTGCATGCCAGGCGGTTTAAATTATTTGTGTGAAATGTTAAATGTGTGACAGTCCACACAGATTTTAGTTATAGAGTTATTTGAAAATTGTAGAACAGTGAATTTTGAACCCTTAGAAACCCTTAGAAATTAAATTTACTGCTTTTGAGATATAGCAGTATCAGTAGTAAAAAGAAATTCTTCATAACGTTAGCGAAACACAATTTTATAATCACTATCTGTTTTGTCTTTTCTAACTGAACCTTTTTTATGCCAATATGATTACAGATTTTTTCTTTGTAATGATGTGAATCCAACAGATATACGACAGCCCTAACTCGCACCAGACATCTTTGAAATCTAGCAAGTTATTTATCATTAAGTTGGTTCCGGGTAGGCGGGGCTTGTTGCCATGGTTATGTGTAAACGGAAAGTTCTGGTTTATTTACAGGGGGTTTTGTCTCTGGTGTGTCTCTACGGCAGGTTCGGGCAGACAAACTGCAACGTTATGACCTTTTTTGGTTTGACATACCTGGGTTATCAGAACCCGATAGGCGATAGAATGATACTGAATCCCCGGGGACCGTCTAATCCTAACGGTAAGGAGAGCTTTGCTTTCGCTTATGTGAACAATAGGTCTGAAAGCGGGGCTTGGTTGTCTTTTGGCCTAGAGTTACCTAAAGGTTTAGCTACGTGGAAAATTGGCTCATAATTTCAAAACTCTTCAAAAAGAATAAAAGATAGCAGTCTGTATTTGGAGTTCATGGTGTAGACATTTGATTTATGTCTACACCATGAAGTTTGATTTTAATTTATTAATACCTAATTTATTTTCACAATCTTTTGACTTTTTATTTGGTCAGTAAAATAGAATTAAATTACACTCAGTAATTGCTTCTCCCCTTTGCCTTCAGAACTGCCTTTATTCTTTGTGGCATCGATCCAACAAGGCGCTGGAAATATTCCTCAGAGATTTTGGTCCATATTGACATGATGCCATCACACAGTTGCTGCACATCCCTGATGTATATCCGTCAAATCCCCAAATTTGCTCTATTAGATTGATTGTAGCAGCAGGCAACTTAATATTGTCCTTTAGGGCCATTGACAAGCTTTATTAGACCATATTTAGTTGTAACAGCAGTGGTAACATATCTCATTACAGATGGCAACAGCAACATCAAAGCCGGGATGCCACCTTCTCTTCAAGAACAACCGAGACACCTCAGATGTGTAGAGGACTGCCAACTTTCTGACCAGCCTCTTCCCCACAGCACTGACATACACAATGGGAGCCATGAGAGATGCGAAGCGATGATTAAGCGGCTTCAAACACCTAGATGTGAGTAAATATAACAGATGTGAATGTTGATGAGTAAACAGCTGCATCAAACAATGAGAGCCTTGGTTTCCTCTGTTCTCCAGCTCCAAACCAGCTCTACATGGTGCCTCTGACAGAGAGCCAGAGGTATGGCTGGATGGTGTCCAAGAACCCTGAGCCATGGATGCTAGTCAGACGGTTTCCTCGAAAGAACAGCGAAATGACCAAGTATGTAACATTTTCAAATCAAATAATTTTTTTGTTTTATTTTTTATAACATGTGAGTGAACTTGTTTTTATTACTTTCATAGGTTTGTTAAAGAAATGTTAAAGACGGACCCGAACTTCAGCCTGTTATGAAAACTTTTGCAGTAACACAAATTACCTCACACATAAAAACAGCAACAAACATGATGTGAAAACGTGAAATTAAACTGACAACATGCACACTTTTAGAGGTTTTTTTTTTTTTGCCTCATGCAATAGTGTTAAGCCTATTTTTGTAATGAGTGTGCTCTCTTTTTTTACATTTAAGTAATTCTTTGAATGACATGTACAGTATTAAGCCTTTGTAGAAAGTTACTGCTCAGCCAGTTTTTGGAGGTGTAAAAATGTTGGAGGGTTGCTCATTGGAGAAAAACAAAAGGGTATTCAGTCTTAAAGTTGTTAAAGCAAGGAAAAACAGGATTTGCTTTACTCCATAGTAAGGTACAGGGCCATTGATGCATCACTAACAATAAGGGTCCTTACATCTCAGATCATTGAATTTTTAGAACATTTTCTGGGCAACTATCTCTGATTTCTGTCATAATTTTGTGTTTAAATCATCTGGACACAGCAACCTTTCCTTGAAGACTAGTCATTTCAGATGAGTTACTAGTTTTTTTCAATACATTTAATATTTTTTTTCTGTGTTTATTTTTACTTGTTGAATTTTAATGCCTCTTATTATTTTTTAAACTCAGTATGACTTATCTGACCCTTCCAGGCCAATGTGCATGCATATAAAGTGGGTGTGAAAAATGAAAAAAGTACACATATATTTTAAGTTATTGTCTCAGTTTTAATTTGATTACAGTTTGGAAACTATTTGGATATTTTTTCTGTTCAGATCTGCTGATATTGTTGTTTCTGTGGTATAACTTGTATCATATTTGCTAAATCCAGCACGAAAGTTGAATGAAAAGAGCATTTCCATAATTTTTATCACCAAAAAAAATCATTTTTAGAAAATATTTTGCATGTTTTAGTTACAATTTACAGATTGCCACTAGTCATTTTTTGCATTGTTAATTTCTTTTTTGTGTGCTCAAATATGGAACTTTACAAGACTACTTGCATATTTGTTCCACATTGCATGGCAAATGCATTTTCTGATTTTTTTTTTTTATGCATCCGTCCCAAATTATAGGTCATGATTTATTTTTATGGTAAGAAAGACCAGCGAAAATTTCAGGCTTTTGGTTTTTGAGGTAATCATGTTCAAACATTGCCTCAGATTTCAAAGTGTGGGAAAAATATGGTGGAAGTGGGCTGACGGACCATCTAAAAATATATATTTATCTTGAAAAGTATTTGATATATAAATGGGCATTGCAATTAAAAATTCCTCTCGGGAACTCAGAAATTCCAGCTTCAAATGGAACTCACCATTATAGTCACCATTAGAGTCGCTTTGGCGATTCTTGTATTACCTCCTTACACAGAGGATACACTGGAGCATCCTTTTTGAAAGGAAAAGAGATAATGCCAGCTAACAGTTCATTTTTCATTCCATGCCATGACGTGCTGATATGTTTTAAGACTTCCAAAACAACTTACATTAAACTCACGCCTGATATTCTTGTGATGTCATTGCCTAGTATGAAAAAAGTTGCATAATTAAAGATAATGAGCTCTTTTAAAATGATTAACGTGAATTGAAGTTTTACCATAATTCATGTGTTAGTTGTGTTCATTGCTGTATTGCATTATTTAATATTTCCATTTATTAAGTCATACAAAGCCTTTAAAAAAGGCATCTAATTTCACCTTTTTAGCCAGTTTTTTTTTCTTTAAAGTACCAACCTTGGCAACAAATTAAGATTTTTTTTCACCAGTGGTTCTCATTTACATGGCATTAAAACAGCCCCATAAGAAGACAAAGAGAAAAGATTTAAGATGTGGATTTTGGGTTTCACCACAGCAAAACCATGTCAGCAACATCCCCTTTGTTAAGGAGCCATGTGTAAGTGCAGTGATTCCTAAAATAATCAAATAATAACTCTTACAATTACTTTCAGAGTTGAGATGCTCATGGTAATTAAGGTTGGTTACTTACAGTTAAAAAAAATATAATTAAGTTTGAAAGTACATATTTCAATTTAAGTCATAAAAAAAGCAGTGTGTAAGCAGTGTTTGTAGACTCAGAAAGTAAGTCTACAAAGGTTTCAGCTCTGTTACACCAGGTGAGGGATTCTGTCACTTCTGTGCTGGAATCTGGGAATATAAACACATGTTTGAGCGAATTTAATCTCTTATATATTCATCTCATAAAGTATGCATGACCGCAAGTTCACAAGTTGCAGTAACTGATCCTGAAACCCAGTCCTTGAAGACTTCCTGTTTGGCACTGGAAATCAAAACTGCCAACTAGTATGTGATGACTGAGGCTTCCTATTTCTTATGTGTCTGAAATATATTTACCTCCTCCAGTGCTGAAGCAGTGAAATCAGTACAGTATGGGCTGACACTGGGATCCTTCAGCAGAATGATAACGGTTTGTTCCCTGAAATCTAATCGTGTCACAATTTATGTCTTTGAGAAACACAAAACATAAAAAGATTTCCCTTTCCGTTTATACTCAGGTCAGCTAGTTTCTGTGTTTGTGCTGTGAATGGTTTCTCCTGTCTCTTCATGCTCATTTGTTGGCTGTTATACATGCTGGTGCTATTATGACTGCCTCAAAGGCCACAACAAAGAATGGAGTCACACCACCCACTGAATAGGGATTACCAAAGGTTTATTAAACTTAGTAATAATCATGGTTCATGTAAGGCTGTATCAGTGGTGCAAAGCCATGAATGGATGGCAGTTGTATGTTTAGAAACTGAATTAAGATAATAGGTCAAATAAAACAAAACAAAACAAAACAAAACAAACAGGGTTGCCATTGCATGGAGGCGGTGCAAACACTGTCAGCAAAGGAGTAGTCGGAGTGAAGACAGGGCGAGGTCTCAAAAGGCAGGGTTCAAATGTCCCTGGCCGGGTGTGGAGGGCCAGGTTTTCCAGGAAACTCCTGCAACACACACACACACACACACACACACACACACACACACACACACACACACACACACACACACACACACATGGCAAACCTTGCACAAAAGCCTGTGGCCATAACAGATACCAACAGTTAGAAATCGGTAATATCCACCCAGTTATTTCCCCTTATCCAATTTGAGGTCAATGAATCTGACCCTCAAAGGTCAGAGGGGCTGGAGCTTATCCCGGCTCCCATAGGGTAAGTGGCAGGGTACACCTTGGCCAGTCTCTCAAAGGGCTAACACAGTGAGACAGACAACCATTCACATTCATACCTATGGTCAATCTACGTGAACCAATTAACCCCACTAACTGCATGTCTTCAGACTGTAGGAGGAAGCTGAAATACATGTAAACACCACACAGTAAGGCCCTGAACAGATGGTGGATTTAAACACAGGAAATACTTGCTGGGAGGTAAAAGCACTAACCGTTACGCCACTGTGCTGCCCTCAGCAGCTTATATATGCCGATAATGTTGGTGCACTGATCATCAGGAGTCTTTTCTCATGTTTCCTGCTGCTGTTGCCCTTTACCTTTGAGAATACCTTGGTTTGAAGGCTTGTTTCCTACACATAAAAATGATGGATTTAAGGTCCCCCTACATAAAAAATGTGATCTAAAACCCTTTTTTCTTACAAAAAAGGAACTCAGGTCAATTTAGTTTTAATTATATATCACAACAGTCACCTTAAGGTGCTTTATATTGTAAAGACCCTACAATAATAGAGGAAAAAAAAACCCCAATAATTAGACAGCACCCTATGAGCAAGCACTTGGTGACAGTGGGAAGGAATAACTCCTTTTTAACAGGAAAAAACCTCTGGCAGAATAAGGTTTAGGGAAGCTAAGACTACTGGAGGTTTCTATAAAGCAAAGATAATGACTGAGTCACATTCAGCATCAGGAGCAAAAATACAGTCACACAAAACAGCCATTGATTTTTTTTTATTTTTTTCTTCAAGGGGAAATGTTATTTTTCTCTTTGTCATAGTCCTCAACTCTTCTCGTCCTTCAAAACTTTGCAAAAAACAAAACAACAAAAAAAAAATCCCCTTTTCAACTCTTCCAACTCAGGGAAAAATACAAATAAAACAAAAACAAATACGGAAGGATTCATCAGGCCTGAGCAAAAACACTGTTTCAGTAGTATGGGGACAAACCTTCCTTCCCTCTCCTCTTCCCTTCCCCTCCCAAAAGCATCCCAAGAGTTAACAATCAACACAAGTCTATGGACAGCCAATAGAAATAGAATACATACAATGAACATCTTTATAATAAACTCAGGTGCATTTTATAAACTCTTTGCTTTATACGAATCACTCTTCATTGGTCACAGTTCATGTGATAGTTGGTGATCTCCGTTGCATTACTGTCCTCTAGACGCAAGCCCGAGTATCATTGCACAGGAGGGACCAAAAGCACAGGGCTGCGTGAGCTGGCTTTGGTACAAACGTGATCAACTGTTGGTTGCCACTGCTAAGTGTGAGGGAAGAGCTGAGTCAGGGCTGATCCTACAAATTAACAGAAAGCTGCGCCCGGGGGAACCAAGACCTTTACAACGATGAGAAAGTTAACGTAAAAAATAATAATAATAATGTCGACGAGCCCTTGTCCCTCTTTCTCTCTCTCTGCCCGAACATTAGCGGTCCAGGCAGGGAAAGCAAGCACACTTCCCATTTAGTGTTAATCTGTGATTTGTTTTATGTCAACTTAAGGCAATCAGACTCAGCAATCAGTGCTTTCATTTTCCGCTGAGGCGGGTGTAATAGGAGAGAAAATATGTGAAGGCCTACCAACTCGACCTTGTCCTCTTTAAACAGCGTAACACGAGGGATGCTGTTTGTTACCACTGAGAACTTTAACGTGTGTGGAGGTCACCGAAAAGCCTGGCTGAGATTTACAATACTGCAGTAGTGGCATGAATTTAAAAAAATAAAAATAAAAAATAAAAAAATAAAAAGAGCAAAAAACAAAAAAAGCACAGTGATTCATTTGTAAATGTGTGTGTGTTTACTGCTATGCTTATGTGAGCATACACCACTTGGGCTCTGCTGCAAAGGCAGCTAATGGTTATTACTTACTATACATGATCACACCTATCGTCAGCTTAAAAATACTGTACTGTACATCAGGACTGAACAGCAGAACTCATTGGCTGCAGTTGATCAGTTGGTACCAGTGAGCTGGAGCTTTACGACTGGCATTTTACAAGAAAGCGTGCTGGTCTTTGATCCTCTTCATCGGAATGGAGTCATCATATTAAGCATAATAATTAATCAGAATCATCATAATAATAACAACATTAAGAATATACAAATGATGGATACAGAAGTGATACAAAATACCCTACGCTGAAAACGAACAAAAATGAAAACCAGATACCACAATCAGACATGCTTCAAAGCAGTTATGTTTGGCAAGAAAGCAGTTTCATTGTATCATAAAAACCTCACAGTGAAAATAGTTATGCCCCTTCAGGATTACAAAGCACAGTATTCAGTTAAAATCAATATATATTAATTTCCTTCATCTATTTCTTCTTCATAGAAGAATCAGGCTGTGCGATACCGATGCATTGAAATCCAAAGTTTCTCCCCCTCCCCCCCCCCGAAGGCTCTGGAACGGGTCTCGGATCTAAGTTCCTTCATTTCCATCTGTACCAAAACAATACCTCTCTGAAAGGGAAGGAGCAGTCGATGTCGGTGTACTGTCACGGCCGAAAAAACGGCTCAAGCTCTAAGGAACCAATCGGATGTGAAGTGAGGATGAAGAGGGGCCAAATCCTGGCTGGCTCTACTTTTACTGCTCAGGTATAACCTTCTGATAACATCCTTAGTCGTCTTTAGTCAGTTTTAAGTTAACCTAATTTAACAATCGAGGTCAGCGTTTGAATTTAGGGTTCGTGATATGCTCTTTGCTGCCTGAATGACAGACGAAATAAATGTTTTGTACATAGTCTAAAAAAGGGAGGGAGCAGACTTTGTGGCCAGCATTTGGGCAGAAAGACGGAGGGTTCAGGCCCTCTGCTTAAATAACAGAGGCGGAGATCATTGCTAACTCTAGCAAGAACATATCCACACGTCTTGCCTTGCTTTTAGTAAATACTTTAGTCTTTGGTCAATATATTCCTCCTCAGTTTATACATATATTCATACACACACAAATATGCATGTACATACACACTTAAAAAACGTGTAATAGACTGGATATTTGTGCCCGTATGTTTCCACACTTTTTCATAAAGGACCCTTTTTGCACAAAACATCGAGATCGAAATAAATAATTAATGCAGAAATAAAACATGAGTACCTGTTTGTAATTCATGTGAAATTAAAAAAAAAAAATACAGAATAAGAAAACAAACGAACAAAAAGACCCAAAGTAAAATAAAAAAGTAGCCGTATGTACAGCGTTAATCTTCTTTTGACACAGGCTAAAAGGCGTTTTAAATAAACAGACTTTGCATCTTTCAAGAAGCCTGAGAGAGAGGCTAGACATGAGAAAAACACGTGTCCTTCGACATGTACGGGA